ACAGCTACACCAAGCACACATGTATTGGTTCCACATTGTTACATTCAACAGTACACCAAGCACACATGTATTGGTTCCACATCTGTTACATTCAACAGCTACACCAAGCACACATGTATTGGTTCCACATCTGTTACATTCAACAGCTACACCAAGCACACATGTATTGGTTCCACATCTGTTACATTCAACAGCTACACCAAGCACACATGTATTGGTTCCACATCTGTTACATTCAACAGCTACACCAAGCACACATGTATTGGTTCCACATCTGTTACATTCAACAGCTACACCAAGCACACATGTATTGGTTCCACATCTGTTACATTCAACAGCTACACCAAGCACACATGTATTGGTTCCACATCTGTTACATTCAACAGCTACACCAAGCACACATGTATTGGTTCCACATCTGTTACATTCAATTTAAAGTTTGAAACAAAAATTTATCTCAGTTATCCTGGGCACAAGAAGCACTGAACACTGACGATGCCGACTAACATTATAACCACAATACCACGTCATTTCATTATTATTTCTATGGGCAAGATAAAAATGTACAGCATACATGGTTGTCTCTATATGCATATGAAAAATAACAGTGGTGACTACAAAATCTACATAGTGACAAAAGACCATTTTTGAGTATACAGAAATAAACACAGCCAGGACAATGGGTCACATGACCAAGAGTGGTATAAATACCAGAATTCCATGTACAGTGATACAAACACGTAATGTAATCTGTATTTTAGTGGATATCAATCAGCTTTGCTGAATATCTGACAAGATAAAACAGAGATAACAGGGGTTGTTTTATACATGATTCCTGTTTGCATTCCATCCATTGTTGTAGTATGCAAATGCAACCTAACCTTTTCTTGATTAATATGTCTTGATAAGTAACAGAATTAATTAAAAGTTTCTTTAAAAAAATTATCACATGCAATTTATGTGATGGAGTTCCACATCTCATAAAAAAACAAACATAGGTAGTTCTCTCAAATGATGTTCACAATTGTCCGATCCTGAACTCAACTTTCAGCTAAAAGTCATTTAATTAAATCAGGCAGTCATCTCCGTGATTTTTCCTTTCTCTTCTTTTTACTATCTTCTCGCCTCCTCTTATTGATAGGATTTCTGGGATCATGAATAGCAAAAGTATCTTCATCTTGAATATTAGCATCTTTCACTTTGCCAGCATGGTTCTCGAACTTTAGACGGTGTTTTATCCTGAAATGGAAATAGATTACAGGACAAAGCAGCTGATATAAAATCACTGTTGTTGATGTCACCATTCTTTGTGTTTCAGTGCAACTGATATCATTACTTTTCGTGTTTCAGTGCAAGTGACATCAACAATATGTGAGTTTGGTGTAAATGACACCATCAATATTTGTTTTACAGTGTAAGTGTAGTCACTATTTGTGTTTCACTGTTCACACAGTTCATGTATTTCAGGGCAAGTGATGATGTCTTTATTTGGATTTAACTGTGATATTTCAGTCAATGTAATGTCATCACTATTTTTGAGTCCATGTATTATCAGCTCATGTTAGTTTGAGGTCCACATGTACACTCATTTTCTATTTCGCTCCTTCATTTATCAGTCACGTGGGATTACTACCATGACACTGTTACTCCTTGGTTACTAACAGCTATAGTTACCATGGTTACATTAATTTCCTGCACTCAGCATAGTTCACTGTGAAATTGGCTGTGACAGAATTTATTCAAGTTTCCAAATTTACAAGCCCTCAAAAAGTTCTTAAAAACGGCAAAATATGAGCCACTAAAAATGTTAGTTTCTATCTCTCAATCACAACAACCTACCATGATTCCACAGGTATGTCATTTTCATCATCCTTCTCCTCCTCATCTTCTGCAACTTCTTTAACGTTCTCCGTCTTTTCTGGCTTCTCATCATTTTCCTCATCTATAGAGATCCTAGCTGTGTGTAGTCGACTTTGGAACTTTGACAACAGTGCAAGAGTCTGCAAATAGAACACGCTGATTAAGTAAACAAACATATCAAACAAGTAATATGTTTATTTCATACAGTTGAATACAGATTGGATTAATGGAAAAACAGTATTAGTTGATGACAACAGTAATCCTTGACTACTCTCCCAACAGAAAGTGTGGGAGAAACAGAAAGCATTTCCACCTTGACTGCTCTCCTAGAGCAGTTGGAAGTGACAAAAATAGAGGGAATTCTCAACCTACCGCTTCTTCTCGACTGCTCCCCTTTGATTGTTTTTTTTTCATTTCCACATACTTTTTTCGTTCTTTGTGGAAGTCATCCAAAACTTTGTTTTCATCTTCAATAGATTGGTCTGCAGAAAAACAAGTAATATGTATAACCTATAAAAACCACACATTCTGGTATCTTCTGGAAGTGTTGTTTATCCTATTTTCACTCGATGACAACTGCTTGTATTTTGCAGAGAAATAATTGAGAAAATCTACTAAATTCTTTTATTCATCAAATATTTGCTAGGTTAACCAATTTTTGCATGCAATTATACAGAAATAGTAGGTGCCGTGACTACAACTTTCTTTGAGATTTTTATAAAGTCTGGAAAAAAATTTGAGGGGTATTGAAGGTATTTTCACTTGTGATGCGGCGAATCCATGCTGTACATGTGAAAATACCTTTGCAAATGTAATGTAAGGGAAAGGTCATGAGGTTTTTGTCATATTGTCACATGCATCAGCCAGTAGCAGTAACATAAAGCAATATTACCTACCCGAGTGGCATATTTGACCAAATTATTTTTGTGAAAACTGTTTGAAATATGATCAATCAGAATGTTCTCGATAGTTTCATGCATTTACCAATTAATGTTTTATATCGCCATTTTGCCAATTATAATTCTCTCAACCTTACACTGGCAATTCACTGGGTTTGTTTTTTCAGCTAAACTGCCACTACTATTTGCCAATTTAATTTTAATATGCATGAAGAGGGCTGATAGAACTGACCCGCAATTAAGTTAAAATATTGCCAATGTGACCATGAATACATTGATGGTTTAAAAATTAATTGTTTGTTTAATGGCAACCAATAAACTGGCCACAAAGCACATTTAAGAAACACACGCAAATAACGACACCTGAAAATACATACATGTAATAAACAGGATATTAAAATTTGTGACTGTGTATTATCATATTTAATAAACTCATGTAGTAATTTTGTTATGAGTAGCATTTGGTAATTACTAGAGGAAACACGATATTCAACAAATAAATATGAATAAATAAGTATTTTTAGAGATGGCTGAATTGTTATATAAGCGGCATATCAACACAATATGTCAGGTAATTAAATTACTGGAGGAAAGAAAAAGATACTCAACAGATACTCAAAGAACAATGCAATGCATGTGAACTATCAGCACTGTAGACTAATTAGTGTAACAGTAGAAGTCATTTAAACATTTTTATAGTTTTTGGAAGCTAATTTGCATAATTTTTGGCAGACCAACTTCTCATGAACAAATTCCCTTTTACACTCCTCAAGGGAGCTACACAACAGGAATCATGTCAACGGTTTTTGAGAAGACATCCAGACAGACTCCAGACACTGGACAAAGCTCAGCTACAATCAGCTAACGATACAACCTACAATCCATTAATTGATCTATTAAAAATGACATGTTTCCAAACAGTTTTTCCAAAACAAAGCAGGAATGTGTTTAGAGCAAATACTGGAATCAACTCCAAACAATCAAAATCAAATATCAAAAAAAAAAATACCTTCTTCTTCAACCTCAGGCTTCTCCTCTTTTTGTTCCTTCTTTTTTTTAGATTCTAACATCTCCTTTTTCAGTTGACGTGATTCCTTCCTAAGTTGCTCACTATGAATAAGAATTAGGAA